GGAACAAGACCGTAGATGCGTGCCTGATCGCACCCGTTTTGTTCCGTTAGGCGGTATATGCGGAAATCAATAGGACTGAACTCATACACAGAGATCTTAACAACTTCTGATCAGTGCCGATCACAGCTGATTTCATCTACATACCGAAGGTTTACCTTGACGCCACGCCAGTAGGTTAGAGGTCAGCTGTGAGCAGGTGGCCAATCACTTTTCAGCCACGCGTGTCTGCTCCTTCCTTGACTTTCAGGAACTCAAGCGACATGAAGGTGTGTAATCAGGCCCTTGATTTCTACTCTGTCAGAAGAGCCACAGGTGATTTGTCCTTAAATGGAGACAAATACCCAGCAAATACCTAGTCTCCTGCCGGACAAAATGTCCATTCTGAAAATCAAGATGCCGTCATTTTTAATCGGAGGTTTCCAGAACCTCTGAATGAAGATGTTGACCAGTATTCGGCCGGCAGAAAGCTCAGGTTAGCTTTATTTGGTAGTTTCCACTGATTCTCTCTTTCACCATTTACCGACAGCTTTTATTGAAGCCATTAGAGACGTGAAAATAAATTTCACGAGACTCAAAGCTTTCTCGCTGCTACCAGCTGGTCTACACGGTGAGCACTTTCCACGAACGAGCGCTGTAGTCGTACTGTACCGTCTGTTTTTCTCTTTCTAGCAAAATTGACGAGCTCTATTTATGCGTACATATTCCTTTCGGATTAAAACTTACCTGCAACAACGTGTGATTCGCCACCCGAATGGAAGTAGTATAACCTTCGTGCGAGTGTACCGACCAAGTGTCCGGTGACGGCCAAACTTATACCGAGAAAGCCGAGCATCATGGCCAATAAAAGCATGCAAAGTACTCCGTCTTGCCAGCCTGCAGATCAGAAAATACATTAAAATTATTCGCATACCGATTTGCTTTTCATGGGAGAGTCACTCGAAAAGTTGTCACGGTTTTCAGCAACCCAATGAGTAGTATCTTACGTCCATACACTGAAGATGGGAAACATACCGATTTGCTTTTCATGGGAGAGTCACTCGAAAAGTTGTCACGGTTTTCAGCAACCCAATGAGTAGTATCTTACGTCCATACACTGAATTTTAGATGGGAAACATCAGTTACTATGTAGTTTCGTTTGGGCAGTTTAGTTGATGGACTGATCGAGTTAATAGTGACTTTCAGGTGGCAGCACGAGTTCGCTGTCAGCTTTTGGAATTTCGCGCGGATACTGTCGTCAAACATTCCGTTCAGGTTAGTTCACCTGATCCCAGGTTCAGTTCAACTTTAAGATCTGTTCCTCGCTCTCTGACGATTTGCTGCTTACTGTTGGGGTACCATCTCTTGCGAACTTCGCTCGACCTAAGGCCACCGCACAAAGACAGGCAGACAGACCCGCAAGGGATGACAAAAGGCGCACCAATAGGATAGTTTACATGCTATGCTCTGCAGGGTGTCCAGCCGGCTGCAAGCAGGATCGCACAGGACCCAGCAAGGAAGGTATGGAAATCCCACAGCACTCAGTTTAGCATTTCACCATATCACTTTATGGTCCATCTCTCGGGAAGGAGAAAACAGCGCTTTTGTGGGGGCCGTTGTGCAATCTAGTGTCTCTGCGTCGCTGCAAGGCCTCAGAGTCAAACCAACCAGGTCAGCAACAGCTATCGTTGGGCCTTCGTTTTGGCTTGTTTTTGCTTCATCTCACGTCTTTGTTTGGTGCAGATTTCCGCAACAATTGTTGCAAACCTTAGAAATGAGATCCTCGTTTATCGGTCAAAAACCTTTGCCTCCGAAGAAAGCGCTGTTTTCGAGAAATTCACTCATTTGCAAATCAGTTTGGTTCTCACGAGAGACTAAGGCGAATCTCTCTTTTATGAGTCTCTCGTGAAAACCAACTTGATTTGCAAATGAGTGAATTTCTCGAAAACAGCGCTTTCTTCGGAGGCAAAGGTTTTTGACCGATAAACGAGGATCTCATTTCTAAGGTTTGCAACAATTGTTGCGGAAATCTGCACCAAACAAAGACGTGAGATGAAGCAAAAACAAGCCAAAACGAAGGCCCAACGATAGCTGTTGCTGACCTGGTTGGTTTGACTCTGAGGCCTTGCAGCGACGCAGAGACACTAGATTGCACAACGGCCCCCACTGAGTGTAAAACCTGTGCAGCTGAGCAGTAGCCGGTGATCAGCACAAAGTTGCGAAATACTTACACCTGTATCACCGAGTCTTGCACTCAGGCGAAATGTACCACTCTGACGTGATTCTGAGCAACTGAGGATCTCCGTCTGTGCACTAAATTCACCTGCAACTATGCCCGCGTTCTTTGCGGTGAATAACAAACAGGGCGGTCAAGTTTTGACAGAAGGTGACATGACGACGAGTAAGAGTTTCCACCGAAGTAGAATGTGAGTTAGCACAGAGTCAGCTGTTTAAAAGTACCTAGCTGGGTATCGAAGCTTCTGCTTGCCAAATTAGAGCTCTGTCAACAAGGGGGGATCCACCACAATAGCCTAAGGGGGTTTGGAATTTCGTAGATGGCATCTCTAAGAATGAAAGGCCACGGTAACTTCGGCAACTGTGTTCGGATTCTGTAGAGAGATGCAGTAGGCATCAAGCAATAGGGTAGCTACGATACGCGTACGAGCAGCCTGTTTGCCCATCTGCCCAAGAGTTGAAGGCCATAAAAAGAACAAGATAAAGAAGCCTGAATGGCGAACACGGGTCAGCAGTTGTGATGTGTGAACTCCTAGGGTGCCCATAACTGGGATCTTGATAGGATTGACTGTCAAGTTGGACATGACTTGACGATACGATAATGATGTGGGGCGTAAGCGGTCACATGTTTTCGCTGATCCACCCAGATGTATGTGCAGCGAATAAGGTGCCGATATAGCACAAAGTTCCCTTTACCTGGAAATTTCATGGCTGTATGTGGGCTGCGATAGTGCCAGGGCCCCCAAACCTAGACAGAAGAACGTTTACGGCTCGAAAGCCTGACTGCAAGGTAGCGGTGGTTGGCGTGAGAGCTGAGCTGAGCAGCTCAGATTCTACAGAATAAATTGCCATGTTTGTTTTGAACTTCAATCTGAAGAGACAGGAGATGGTTTGTCAAACGTCTATCCACTGACTGTGTGGATGCCGCATGGGCAACCTTCGGGGAGGCTCAGTAATAAGTGCGGGCTGAAGTAAAAGAGTATCGTATCACTTAGCTGTAGCACCCCTTAGGTACCTGACCACCTTGCGACCATATGGGAGGGCGAGGGCAGGGTTGCCCAAGCCCAGACAGGGAAAGTCGAGAGGCAGAGGTCGGGTTCGAACCTCGGACCATCCGATCAGTAAAGTCGCGCTCTAGTCACTGAGTCATCTCGCACTCAGCCGACTTGCGCTCTTCGGAGCAACCACCCACTAGCTCATGAATCAGCCGTTATTTTCTCACCAACAGAACGCGAAAATGGCTGTCCATACCACACTAGACCCCCTAGAGTGTCGAGAATTCTAGGTAGGGCGACCGAAACGTCTGATGGGAACATTTCGTTGCACTATGCCATACTCTGACAGCATATCCAGCATGAGCGCCCTTACGTTTAAAAAAACATCACGTCAGAGATTGCATCGCATTCTATCATCATTCGAGTGTCCGGCTTCTCCCACTAAAAAAACGGAAACCTGCTGATTCCCCTGAAGGTTCACCGAAGTTTTCCTCCATATATTAGTTATCCAACGAAATATGGAGTTAGAACACTCCCCCTATTTGAATGAACATTCGTGGGGACAACATTGCTTTAAATAGCCACTCACTCAATTCGGCACATCAAACGGTCAGCTAGCCTTCTATCACTCCGAACGACTTCAAATAACTCATACAAGAAGGAAAATGCGAGGTCTCGTGGCTGTCCACGGCGGAAATGGGGAGTAGTTCACTCTCAAATGTACTCTTGGTATCGACCTATTTTACTCAGCAGCTTCGACAAGTTGACGTGAAATGAAGTGGCTATCAGTGTGTGTGTGTGTGTAGGAACAGCGAAAAGGTCACACGCCAATTCCCGTACGCTTAAACTGTACAAAAAAGATAGTTGTTCATGGGAAATGAGAACAGGACTTACCAGTTCGTTGAGTAAAAAACGGTATGGTATATTCACATGTACCGTTCTGTTGATTACATCGTTTCCAGAACCCACTGTAGGTGATGTTGCTTCCTAAAAATTTGTGAACGTGAGAGAAAACCAAGCGTACATTAGCAAAGTGAAACTGTTCCTCTGAAATTTTCGATTCGAAATTTGTGACAAAAAAATTCAATGACATACACTGACTTCCGTCCGTAATCGGTAGTACGAGCCTTCGCATTAGTTGATTGTTCGTTCCGTTCCGCTTTACTAACGGTTGGTTGCGTTCGAAAAACCAACTTCAGCTCCGAGCAAGTTCAACATTGACGAGATCGCTTAATTACCGGAAGTGAACAGTTAGTTTAGCGCAGCGATCCGAGTAAAGTTGTACGACCAACCAACTGAATGGTGTACTGTTCTACATATGGAACAGCAGTTCCAAAAAGAACGCACGCAAAAGGAGACTGCGCACTGATGCTACTCGCTGAAAGCGGAGAACTATGATCAATGGGAATGCAGCGAGCAATGTTAGCGTTTATCGAGTCATGATTCCGAAACAGTTTCGATGGAAAGCATTTGCGTCCTGTCAAATTCACCTCTTCGATTATACGGGTAATGTTGAGCACATGTTTCGCAGGAAATTTTGAAAAATCTATTACGAAGTAAGAGATCGGCCTTGAGACCCTTAGTGTGTCGATAAACTGTAGGTTTGTGACTCAAACACCGAATACCTAAGGTCCATGCTCGATGAGTTGCTGTCTTCAAGGCCACCCAGACGAAGCTACATTGAGCGATTCAGAGAGGCATATCATCAAATGGGACTCTCATTTGTACGTGAAGACATCAGGCGATATTTCCCCACACACCACAGAAGGTTTCGTTCAGTGGAACTAATTTTAGCTAAGGAGAGAATCGAAGAGCTGTGGACTGAAATCGGGCATCGTGAGCGCCATCATCGGGGAGCGGACTGAATGGTAGTCTACCGCAGTCCTTGAGAGAGGCGAAAACCTCCAGATGCTCATTCAGGAAATCTGGATAGAAGTCGGTAACAAGAACGCCGCTGATATCGATTAGCAGCCATACCTTGCAGCGTCCTCAATTAGGTACGGCATGGAACAGGCGGATCTCACCCGCACCGACAGCACTCAGACTTTCGTCCCCTCTTTCATAACTCTCTGTCAGGTTAATGGCTGGTCATCTATCTACGTGTACTATACTAAATTGGACATGGAAAACGGGCCGGTTTTTGGCAACCTGTGATTGAGTGTGTGTAATATGTGACACTTCCACCGTAGCTTTTGGTGCTAGATGCCTTTTTCGATTTAAGCGCCTGCGGAACAACCGAAGACTCGCTTCCTAATTGAGTCGTTGCGGATTGGCCGACACCAGTCTGTACGAGCTATGGTTATGACACAACGATTGTCCAACACCTGAAGACCTCTCATTTCGGTTGCCCACAGAGGCTACAGCCAGATCCCTTGAAACTCAGGGACGTCATAGGTGTCTCAAATTAGATCCGTTTCTTAAAGATTAGTGCACTGACCCCATGTGTCATAAAACCGTTGGAGTTAACACAACTTCCAAAGTACGTAAACTGCTCCACAATCTCACATACCGTACCCTGAATTGTACCTAACGTATCCCGTGACCGCATGTTCAGGAGCCTAACTATACATCCTGTGGGTCCAAAACAGGATGATTTTGGTGAGTTCATCCAAAAACACCTGCTCCTCCTTTTCTTGGAAGACGAAAACGATGCCGTTATCATCAACCGAAGCTTTCGGGGGAACTCTCCTTATATGCTCACAAGCTCGGGACGCATTACATCATGAGTTACCTGTGGGCACAATACAAGTTGAAATTTCATGTCCACAACTCTACTTTAATTGGGTAACAGTATTTTGCGAACTAGTCCAGTCCAGTTGGGGTTTTTATCTGACGAACGCAGCTGACTGTTCCTGCTGCATACAAGCCTAACCTTTCTGTATGCCAATTGGTCCTTCACGTACGGTAGAAGATTAGATTCCTCAGCTAGCAACCTGGACTGTGAGTAATGCTGTATGCAGGGTTTTTCTTTCTCGAACTTTACTCAGCTGCATACCATTTTAGTTCAAAAGTGCGGGGGGGAGCTGAACTCAGCCGAATCGCAGCTGAACCCCCAATTTTCAGAAAACTTGTGGTTAACTTCATGGCTTTTCTTCGTTACCAAAATACAATAGGTTGCTTACCACTTCCTTGGTATATCCATGTATTGGCGCCCACTGCGCATATCAGGCAAACTGAAGCGACACCGGCCAGACAAACCGCAACCACTCGGGCCTTTGTAAAAACACAGTGGTCCCAATATTCTGCAAATTCATTCATTTCGGCAGCCGTCAGGCGAATTGATGGTTGTGAATAGTTTATCACAGTCATCCTAGATGGCAGGCCGTGGGAAGAATAGCGTTCTCCTTTACGAGATGATGTGCTCGGATAGTAGGTTTCAACTGGAGTTTGAACTTCGATGAAAGTTGGCGTTTCCTTCTCCAAAGCGTCATCTGCCAACAGGTCCACTCGAGCCATTTCTTCGTCTTCGGCGTTGAAAGACAAGGTCTGATCCTCATCTTTGAGTGGATGAAGACCTCTTCTAGCGCTCAAGCGATGTTTTGGAGACCTGAGCAGCTGTGAGAAAAGGGGAACAATGACGTGTATATTAGTGGTCCTGGGAAAGTTACGGAAACATTATAAAACTTGTGAAGAAACTACTCACAACGTTGCTGAAAACTCGTCGACAGCCCACGACCGATTTCGCACTTTCATTTCGGGCTCATCAGGCAGGCGCAGTCCCCGAGTTTCCGTCAACCTTATGTTCTACTTGAACCCAAATTGCACTGTTTCGAGAAAAACACTCGTTTGCAAATCAATTAGGCTTTCACGAGAGACTCAACTGGATCTCTCGTTTATGATATCCCACAACTGAA